TACAACAATTTGACTGATTTTTTATAAAGATCTTATAAAAGAATATAAAGATAGATTATAACAACTCATAATCGTTAAACTCAGCCTTGTATCGGCCGATAAATTATCCAAATTAATTAGTTAACTATTCCAGTTGTTTTTATTGAACTATTTCAAACTATACGTTTGATAGATCTTCCAATTCGAGAATATAGAGACGTGAATAACCGGACAACCACAAAAACATTTGTGAATACACATTATAAATAGATCACCCAGACCAAATGGGCAGGAGTTCATGCATGACAAAAGTCAGTTCGGTTGAGGAGGTTTAATATGGGTAGGGCGGATATAGTGTTATTAGCTTGAGTTGCTCAGTGCAGTCCACAAACCGTTTTCCAAGTGGAAACTATATCGTCTTGTCAAAATACTACTAATACATAATACTATCTACGCGTTTGAATAGTTATTTATTTATTTAGTTTAATTCCAAAACTAGATATCAGAAAATCAGTAGTAGTATCTCTAGAATTTTCAGATGAGTACTTATTTACACACAAAAAAACATATTTTAGTGAACAATGCTTTTTAATATAGAAATCAAGATTTGTAATTTTTTCAGCACAATTAAGAGAAGATTATTATAAAGCACACTGCTGGCTTCTAGTTTATTTTTTGGTTGGACAAATGCTATGGAAGCAAATCCAATAAGAAAAGCAGGCTGAAATCGGACTCATGGCTTCAACGACAATGGCGTATAACCAGTTGACACTAATATATAATTGTGTTGGAGGGAATCCCTTCCAACACTAAAATGAAGAAAGAAGAAGAAGAAGAAAGATAAAGCACACTGTATGTTGTAATTATAAAAGTACAATTTTTTTTAAATGGAGGTGGTGGGTGCGGGAATGGGTTTGGTGTCAGGATCAGTAATTGGTGTGTGGGTGGGGCGGAACAAGGTGGTTTTGGTTTGGTTGGGTTGGGTTAGTGGTGTGATGCGGTATGTGATAGTGTGATGTCGGTGTTGAAAATGTAGGATGTGGGATGTTGGGTGTGTGATAGTGGAGTGTTGGATGTGGGATAGTAGGGTGTTCAGGCGGGGGGGGGGGGGGCTATTGCCCGTAGAGTAATGTCTTGCTGTAGTTTTTGGAATTACTCCGGGATAAATGAAGAGGGGGAGGGATAGGTAACTAAGAGAGGGGCGAGTAATGATCTGCTTCAGCAAATATCTATATAGAATACCAAAAAATATTATATGTGTCGTAATCTATTCAATGCTCTGCGTTCTTTACATTGCCGTGCTGCAATAGTGGAAGCGTGCAGAATTAACCTAATTTTTTTAAATGAAAATTTTTAATTTTTCTTAACCCTTTATCTACTGACGGTACTTATAAGTACCACTTTAATTAAGCGCCTGTATTATTTTTAATTTAAGACGAATTTTAAAAATTATTGATGTAATTGATAGTATTATCTCCCTTGAGTCACAGGTAGGTGGAGGGAACGATGTTTTTTGAAAATTTCTGGTGTGGCGCCATTTTCAGTCTCTACCTGTATCGGTAGTTCGCAATTGTTCTGTGCATATCTCACATGTGTTCCTGATTTCCCTTTGTTTTACCTTATTCTTCACGTTTTCAACACCGAATATTTGTTATTGGCATCTTCAATAGTCAGGCAAATACATTTAACTTCTAGTTATACAATTTTTATCAAATTGTCTTTGTAATAGATCAATGTTTACAAGTGGACTTATAAGTACCGTCAGGGCACACTGACATTTTTTTAGGATTTCTTGGAAATTGCTGATTTTCGATGTGGAGTGCCATAAATATTATTTTGATAATTATTTATCGGAATGTACTTAAAAAAATATATTTATGCATTTATAAGAAGGTTAGCATAGGGTTTTCTTCAGAAATATTGTAATTACTTGCAGATATCTAGTAGTAAAAGAATAACAAGACTAGAGGTGGCAGTTGCAGGCTCGTTTACTAGGTTTGGTATACGTTATTTGTATACCAAAGTCTAGTTCTAGAAGTAAGATTTGTAAGTTATATTTGTTGAAAAAAACTATCTTGCATACAATAGCTGGCGTGTACGTAATGTTTACCTGTAGACTAGTAATAGTACATACTTCTGCGTGTAGTACAGATCGTTTTGTAATTTTGAATCAGTAAACACAAAACAGTAGGCCACTACGGCTATTCAAAACACATTGAGCTCACTTCTATTTATGTACTTTACACTGTAGTGTAGACCTGTCATAACATTCTAGTAGGCTACAATTATACTAGTATTACTAGTAGTAGTGTACTGAATGACTAGGATTTCGTTTTCAAAATATTTGTTTATGCGGCTCATTCTAATGGCTATTGGAAGCCTCAAGCAAAAGCAGGTTCAGTCCGGCAACTATTGCCACACCAGAAAGACGACAGACAAGAATGTCTCAGGAATGAGTAATGAGGGAGCATGACATGTCGGCACCTTTTGCTGTGTTTGAGGTCTAAGATGTGTTCCGATAGAAAATCCAGTAAAAATCGTACTCAAAATATACTTTTGTGCTGTGTTTATGTGTGGAAATTACAAAAAATGATTGTTATAATGATTGCCATATTATTATTTAATAAGTTGTATCGTTTTTACCTGTTTTGTAAATTTTTTAATTTTTGGAAAAAATGTCCTACATTCCTGACGGTACTTATAAGTACCAATACATGTTTGAGCCCTTAAAAATTTATGAAACAAAATTTCCTTCGACATATGCTTTAATTGTGCCAAAAGCAATATGATAACACATTGTTTAAGAAAAAAATTCATTCAGAACATAATTCCGTAAATAAAGGGTTAAATGAGAGAGGGTGGCTGAAATGTGGTGTGCCCCTTGAAGTGGAAGGGTAGACTTTAATTGACGATGAATGAAGTTGAGGGAAAGAGAGTGGAAAGGGAGGGGGGGGGGGGTTGAAATGTCCAAAAACTTTGGAGTCAATAACGGATAATCCTTATCGTTGTGTGAAATGTAGGTCAGTAGGCTTTAGTAGCTAATCCGTTGCCGAAATCGCTTTCGCTCGATCACCCAAGCCTAAAACATGTGCGTGCACTCTACACGGTCGAGTGTCATCCACGCACGTATGAAATCTTCAAGCGAATCAGCCACTAAAACCAAGTTATTTTATCTACAAGGTCCACCCACTCTTCCTCAAAGGAGCTCTCCGCTCTTCCCCCCCCCCCCCCCCCCAAAAAAATGTCGAGCAAGACATGAATAACGTCTATACACGACGGATGTATTGTGAAAGGTTTTCAATGCATGTTGACGAATACAGCTCCGAAACACATACCGATCCATAGACGGTTGTTCGCAAGCCTGGAGTACTTTTAAAAAGGCCGTCACTATCTATCTCATAATCTGGTTTGTTCCGTCTATACGGTTTGTTCGGTGATTTCTCCTCATGCAATCAATCACATTGGGTCGGTCCATTAACCGTAAGTATAATTAATTTTTATTCGCACTTTAAAAAATCAGTTATTGTTTGTATACGGATTCGTCAATTATTAGGTCCCGTTTTTACGAAATTTAACCGCTCCCCTCTCAATCGTCACCCATCGTCAAATTACCCCTATAAAATGACGTCACATTTCACCCTGCCCTATAACTCAAATTTGATTTAAAACAAACGTAGCACAAAATCTAAAACAATCTGAAATCCTTAACTGAAACTATCAACAACTTCAATTTAAATATAAGACTGAAATTAATTATAAGTCTACGCCTCAAATTACATTTTAAAATGTTAGAGAACGCGCAAAAAAAGATCACTACTGACCCACAACTTACCACATATGGCGTTATGAAACCTCCCTCAAATTGGTTTATACAAAGTTGCTTTAAAATCACACAATTCATTACACAAACAAAGTCAGGCATTTAGAAATAACGAGCAGACTCGCGACGTAGCATACGCCGCTATTTAGTTGTTTTATTGTCTACTTCTCCGTAATTCATAATTTATGAATTCGACACTACTAATGCTGCGACTGAAAATATTTGCTTTAAAACACTATCAGTGAAGGACGATTATCCTCACCCTCACTGCCCAACCCCCCCTCCCCCCCCCCCCCCCCCCCCCCCGCTTGAAAGCAGACGTCCGTGACGACAGTTTACAGACGATAATGAAAATATCCCACATCATTTGTTATTACTTCCTCTTAGTTTCAAATCGTTTAAAAACTAAATCATCTGCCCCTAATAGCTGTCACTAATTCGACTCTTCTGTACAATTGTAAACAGCTCACCAGAGTGGTGTGGTGGGGGTAGTAGCGATATGGTCTGTTGAAGAGAATTATATATATTGATTAAAATCCGGAATCACATCATTATACAGAAACAGCTTGTTACATATTAATTAAAGATAATTGCAAAGCTTTATTTTTACTTTAGAGTAAAAATGGGTACGCCATTTGATTAACTAATTTCAGGGAGGGGGGGATTTTAATGCAGTGTTGTATAAGATTTATTTACATTCAGCTTAAAACATAACACATTCTAAAACTAATAACAAAACCTGAACTGAAACGCTTCGTAAAATCTAAATTTTATACCTTACATTAAAAAAATGGTAACAATAGACTACAATTAACTTTTATAGTAAAAAGTGGGACAACGATTTTACTCCTCCACAAAAAAAAATGTTTTTTTTTTCTCTTTTATCTGTCTAGAATAATCCCCAATTTTCAAAATAAAATACGCAAATTTTTACGGCTTCGACAATCGTCGCAAGGACTCTGGTTAGTAAATATACGCACACATACACACAAGAAGGCCACGTTCTATTCCCTTAAAAAACACAATATGAGCCTTTGAAACCAATCTGACTGGCACTAAATGCATCCTAATGCTGGTGTATCGAGAAGTTAAATCCGGTGTTTTCTTTTTCCTTCGAAAATAACTTGCACTATAGTAAAAATGTAAAGAAGTTTGGTGTGTGGTTTTCTTTGAGGCTTGAAGGTTAAAAGGCTAATGCGGGATGGGTACCTGGTTCAGGCCGAGCGGGTATCTAGTTCAGGTAAAATGGCTCATTGGTCGCAAAAAACTTGAATAAGAGCTTTCATAAGCGACCAATGCTTTTATTATAGAAAACAAGTTTGTTTTATTTTCTTCATTTCATTGCATTTAAAAGCTTCTTATTACCAAGTTTTTACATTTGTTTTATTTTAAACTATTTCTAGACTATTTCCCACAGTAGCCTGGACTTGAAACATACAGAATGATCAATATTTCCGTATCCCATTTTCGTGACCCTGTTGTTGCGATATGTGTGTTCCTTGGCTGGACTTTGTTTTCTTTCCTGTGTCACCTGTGTGGTAAGCTATTCATGGACCGACTCGTGGAAGATGAGGCCTCTACGAATGTGCAGCTACTAAGGCTGCTCTCCGCCTCTGTGCTAACGTTTGTACAGGCGAGGACATTTTTTTTTAAATAATTAAAATATTAAATTTGATTGCTTGTTGGATGAAAGACCATCATCCAAATGCACTAATTTGTCCAAAATCCTGCTTTTAAAATTATTAAAATTATATACATTTAGCAACATTTCTTTTCAAAAATAAAAGTGATGTTTTTTTATGTGCGTGTGCAGAAAAAGTTTTAGTAGAATACTACAATGCTAGTAATTATCTTTCTTTTAAAGGGGATATGCGCGGAAAAAAATCAAACAATTTCTAGTTTTTCGTCATGATCGGTTTCTTGCACTTTTGGATACTTTGTCCATTTTTGTATAAAGAAAATAATAACTTTAAAGAAAAAATAATAATTTATGTGTTTGAATTACGATTTTTATGACCCTATTGATTAAAAAATAATCAATTTTTCCCAATCTTACAAGCTCTCTATCAAAAGTTATATCCGTCATTATATTGTATTTGACATCATTGGAAAGCTGGATTTCTCATGAATCTAATAAACTTAATTTCCTACATTTCGGAAACACCCAAAGCTTACAATCGGCTTTGCAGTTTACACAGATATGGTACTTTCATGACCTAGTTTTCGTTACTTTTGGCTGTTTTTCTCAGTTCGTATGTTTTTAACACTAAAAAGCCTACTACTTTTTTATTTATTAAACATTGCCAACCATATTTTCAGTAATTGTTCTTGATGCAAAGATACAACTTTTATCACGAGAGAATTGTGATTGCTTTCACAGAAAAAAGTATTTGGTAATTAATATGCAAATTTTGAAACTTTTGAACACTAAAAAGGGTACGATTTTTTTAGACCTTGTAAAATTCTTACTAGTAATTATTTCAAAAAGTTGTCGTGACAAAAGTTTTAATATATACTGAAATATAAGCAGTTTAAATTTGATTGCTATAGGTGCATAAATAAAAATGCCTTAGTATTTTTAAAAGTACCGAAAAAATCAAAATGGCGGAGGTTTTTTGGGTTTCCATGACAACCAAAATTGTTTTCCACCTTTTTTTTCTGTTTAAAACTTACTTTTATATGCCAAATACGATAAAAGTATTCAAAAGGCTTTAGATCTTAAACTGTAAAAAATAGAAAAAAAAACATAGCATATCCCCTTAAACAGTCAAATGGCCCTAGGTGTTGTTTTATTAAAACTAGAAACACCGTCGGGACTTTAGAATTTAAAATATATACACTGTCTTGTGTAGAGTAATTCATTAGACAAGAAACGGAACGACTGGAGAGTCTATGGCGCTTCTTACTCGCAATCAATCGAGTCGAGATTCAAGCGACAAAAAAATGCGAGTTTTCGGCTGGGTTGGGAGTTAAGTTATGCTTTCTATTCCCCCCCCCCCCTCGCTCTCAATCTAATCACTTTCTCTACCTGGTTCTGCTCTCTCTCTCTCTCTCTCTCTCTTTCTCTTTCCCGTTCTCTCTCTCTTTCTCTTTCTCTCTCTCTCCGTGCTTATAACCTTATTTTCAGTGTATGATTACATTGTTCATTCTTATTGTCAGTGCGTGTCATGCGTGTCGACATTCGTCGTCAACACAAGCAACCAGAAGAGGCAAAATTTTATACTGCTGGGTTCTCATGTTTTGGCCACCATGACTGCCAATTATAGTATGGCCTACACTGAGGTAAGCCTCTCTTCTCAACGTAGGCTACAAACATCCAACATATTTTTTTTTAAAATGAAGTATTTTTCAGGCATACTATGTGGGGTGTTAGCAGTTAACGAGATATTTAAACTTAGAATTTATGCACTAAAATCTTTCTAGAAATATATTAAGATGTACGTGTTCCTCGATTCGTTGTTTACAACAAAATTGATGAAATTGCAGGCTGCCTCAACTCAAGCCATGAAGCTGGCAGAGCCGGTGTTTATGTGTATAGCAGAACTGTTTGTCTTCCATAGGATGCCCAGTCTTCAAGCGATGATTGGCATTCCTCTCATTATCTTTGGATCTCTAAAATTCGCTAGTAATTTGTAATGTGTGATTAAAGATTTAATTATATGTTAGTAAAATGTTGCCGTGTGACAACATTTTACGCTCTATAAATATGTATGTATATGTTACGGTCAATGTCCCAAATTGTCGTTTCCAATTTTCCCGAATGGACCACACATTTTTTTTGGCATTTCAAAAGTTTTATGGGGTGTTGGGGATGACATTTTAATAAGTACGAGCCGACCCGCGGTGTAGCATACGTCGCTATTAAGTTGTTTTATTTTCTTCTTTTCAGTAATTCATAATTTGTGAATTCGATATTACTGCCCCCCCCCCCCCCCCGTGAAAGCAGCCGTCTGTGACGACAATGAAAAGATCAATCAAAAATTGTTACCTCCTCTGAGTTTCAAATCGTTTAAATACTAAACTATCCGCCCCTAATAGCTGTCACTAATTTGACCCGGCTCTACGATTGTAAACATTTGTCGTGAACCACAGCTAACCAGACTGGTGGGGGCGGGGGTGGTAGCGATATGCCTGGAAAGCGAGGGAGGGGGGAGCTAGGCGTGCGTACGTGGTGGTGGTGTCCCGCATGGTCCCCGCGTAGAGAATTATATATATATATATATATATATATATATATATATATATATATATATATATATATATATATATATATATATATATATATATATATATATATATATATATATATATATATATATATATATATATATAGATAGATAGCCTCATATAAGTAGGTGGTCCGTTTTTAGCCCTCGGCGAGGTTGTAGAGGTTTACAAGTATTTTTCACACATGCACGATTGAATAAGGAAGGTCCCAGCAAAAGATAAGCCCCATGTATAGCGTAAATACACACTAAATAAAGCGGGAGTGATCTATTCTAAGCGTTCTTATATAAGGAGGATGGCACTTTCAGGATTTGTTTATAAAGTACTAATTTTCCACACTATTACACTATTACGCCATTCTTTTTTCTACTAGATTCTTTTCTACTTAAAAACATTATATATATATATATATATATATATATATATATATATATATATATATATATATATATATATATATATATATATATATATATATAATGCGTTCAGTTTTCTTTCTTATTTATTGTTTCAGTGTTGAATTCAACCTACTCACTCGCCACGCCTGGCATTTTTCTGGCATTTATTTCCAACATAGTCCTGGCAATCAGAAACATCATGCTAAAAACCCTCCACGGTCCCGAGTCCTCTACCTCAAGTTTGAAATTTAGGCCGTCCTACGCTAAGCACGTCTGGTACTGTCTACTGCTGGGTATCCTGGTTGCCAGTTTGGCTTTAACCAAGGAGGAAAATCTCACACTGTCAACGACTTTCACGATTTTTCTACTTTTTTCGTCGGGAATATTTCATGTCGTGTATTCCTACATATCTGTCAATGTCGCGCTAAAGGTAATAGATTGTGTTTTTATGTGTTTAACATCCATGTTGATGTTATATCTTCTTTCTTTTCTATTTTCATTTTAAATGTATCTTTTTTTTTATTATGGGGCTGTCGAATCCTTTAAGAATAGTAGATAATTGGAAAATAGAACTAATAAATGTAGAGGCACATATTCAAAGGGATTTTCTGTATTGATTATTATATTACTAGAGGCTTTGAGTAATGTTTCTAGTTCGTTTTTTAATTATTAACTCTTGTTTACCCCCATCTTGTTTTCACACATGACTCAATGAATATTTTCTAACAATCAGGTAATGGATATTGTCAGCCATTCTGTGGTCAACATATTTAAAAGACTTTTTGTCGTCATTATGTTGTACCTCAGTGGGAAGCAACAAGCTAGTACGGGGAACTTTTTCGGTCTGGGCGTGGCTGTTTTGGGATTATTTCTCTTCGCGGATAGTAAACAGACCACACCCAGCAAAAAAATAACAATAAAGAGTAAGAAAAATGTCTTCTTTTAATTACATTTTGTAATAATTTACGTGACCGGCTTAATTAATATTAAAAAAATAACTAACTTTCGCAAGCGAGAAATTTTCTGATTAATATTTTTATTGAAAGTTTTTACTTACCTTTCATTTTAGATATTCTCGTGGTTCTACTGTGTACTTCCTGTGTCATATCAATACCGATGTCAACAAGATACATCAGTAGGGCCGGGATCAAGATTTCTTATTTGAGACAAGAAACGGATAGTCACAGCATTTTCAACGTGCAGGAAAGACCAATTGATGCACGGTTCGCTGATTTCCTGAAATGGAATTTAACACAACACCCGTTTGAGACGAATACATTGTCTCAAAATTTGACGAACGCCCATGACATCATCAAAGAGAATCAGCGTGTTCTTCTGAATCTTTTAGACAGCATCATCGGGACAGCCCCGAATGTGATGCTCATGGATATTCCAGATCATGACAACAAAGGGGACTCCGCCATTACGGTAGGGGAGGTTATGATCATCAAAAAATTAAAGAAACAGATCGTTTATCATTGTGAAACCTTAAAGTGCTATCAACAGAAAAATATAAACAGATCAATTATAATTAGTCAGAGGTATCCGATTGAGGATATTGTGATTTTGCTACATGGAGGGGGAAATCTTTTGGGCTATAAGCTCCATGACAAACTTAGACACAATCTTCTTGACGTGTTTCCTAAACATAAATTCATTCTTCTTTCGCAAAGTATATGGCTGCATGACGACTACGTGAGCCATTTAAACTTTTGTATCCACGCGTATTCTAATAAAACAAACCTTAACATTCTGATAAGAGATAAACAATCTTTAGCAATCGCCAGAGAACATTTTAGAGGAGTGAAGTTGTACCTAGCTCCAGACATGGCGTTTGGGATTGGGCCAGTTCCACGAATGCTGCCTCCGTACTTTGACATCATTTGGCTAAGACGAACAGACAACGAAACTTCGAAATACCCCCTCCCAGTTCTACCTAAAGGCGTCACCGTTCACGTCAGTGACTGGTATGATGAGTGGGCCTTAAACTCTGGAGCGACTGACCTCGAACGTGCATTTATAAAAGCCCATGACGGTTTCAGCTTTCTCCAAAGGGGCAGGGTCGTTATAACAGATCGCCTCCACGGTCACATCCTGTCTGTCCTTATGGACACGCCCCACGTCCTGATAGACAACCCCCCGTTCTATAAACTCTCCTCCTTCGATAACACCTGGACTGCAAGCCTGCACAATAAAGTTATGGCTTCTGGTGGCACTGACGCTGTTGAACAAGCGCTTGCATTTTTGGCCAGATTTAACCAAACTTTGCCTCAAATTGTTCCGAGCACTCTGCGTGATTAATGGAACGATGTAGAACAATAACAGACTGGTGTGATTGGATATACATTTAAAATATTATATAGTTATTACTTGGCTGATCGAACGCGGATGAGGGTGCCTATGCCCCCCATATATTCTGTATATTTGTAATTTTTATTTAAAAAGGTATGTTCTTAATGTTTAACAATCTGTTCTATTCTTATTGTTTCAAAATCTATATTTGTAAAACTAAGGGCTATTTTCAGGAGAGATGGAAGATTGCCTTATCATTTTACTTAACGGACCTTCAATTTATATCTGCTTGTATTCTGTGTTTCTTTATTATCTTATACCCTACATCGATTTCTATTACAAATAATTGAAAATGGACTGATTATGTATAAACTTGTCTCTTTTTTTAAATAAAGCTATTAATGGAAATTTATCTATTCTTTTTTTTTTTGCTCAAACAAATTGTAAGCCTACTTAGTTATAAACTACCTTAACAAATAATTTTAAATGAACTTTACTTACAGGTCTGGTGTACATTAATAACACACTAATTGCATTTTATATTTCATTGAATAGCATAAAGCCATCCGTATCTCCCAGGTTTGTATTGTTATTTATAAACTAAACTTATTCCAGAAGGTTGAAACTTATATTTTTATATTAGGTCTCAAAAGTTCAAAAGTATCTAGAAAAATTCCATCATTGCTGAGGTAACAGAAAAAGTTCTCAAGTAGCCTAAACAAATGATGGAATTTTTCAGGTCCACACACCTTGCCCATCCAGCTCTCATAAAGTCAGATTTATTCCCACTTTGTATGTCTGTGGACACCATAAAGTCTGTAAACACACCAGATGTTTTAACTGAGTTAACTAAAGCAGAAACACCACAAACCTGTAGCCACTGGCAGTCAGAATGTCACTTATACTGCCATTCAGACCTCCTCTTATTGTATCAACTTCCTGCTTGGTTGTTTCTGTTTTTGCTTTTTAGCGTATGTAGGTATTTAAAACATGGGCGAAATATGTTTAATTATTGACTGATGATTAAATTTGCGTTAATGAATTTGTAAACATTAATTATATGTTAAAATTTTAATTATAAGAAATGATCAAATCTTAGTTTTGTTCTAAACGTTTCAATATTTCTTGAAGATGCCTAAGGTAGATTATTTTTACAGCGTGAGGCGTGGGTGGAGGTGGGGCTGATAGTTTTCTGCTGCTTTTTTTTTTAAGCCATGATTATAACTTAATCAAACATTTAGTACAAGAATCTATATAAAATATGAATTTTAAGAACATTAGATAATACGCTCATTTTGAACTGTCGATTACATGCTGTTTCTTAATATGAATTAGTAATTAAAAGTCACGCGACTCTTCCAGATCAATTTCATTTAGACTGATGACTCTTACCATCCTAGTCCTAAACACAACAGCACGGAAACTATGCCCTCGCTCGATTTTATTTTTAAATATGGAGCCGGTGTGATCGGGCAGGTAAACGCATGATTTCTAAATCGAAAGTTTTCCGTGCTCGCTTCCTCTTGCAGGTTAGACTCGTTAGCTGGGGACAGCTGATCATTCAGGAGAGAAAATCAAACACGAGTGGAGCCTCTTGTGCGATAAGATTTCCAGCTCGGTTTATTTTCGGCAGCTCATGTGAAACAACTGATGTCCGAAACGGCACAATATAATGGAATCGATGTTGTCCCCACGCGTTGTAATGTTATGCGACTCAACAAATAACATTTGAAATTATAGAAACTCTTCCGATTTTTAGAAATTTGTATCTCAAGTTTTGTAACTTTAGCTTACACAACCACGTGAAGACAAATGCCAAATCTTACATAATTAAAGTTTCCTTGCAGGTTTAAACCTTCAAGTTGTAAACTTAATCTTTTCGAAGGGAGTAAAATTCCGGAATATTCAATAATGCAACAGATATGCATTATACAATACATGTTCCTGATAATTATTCCGGAAAAAGTTCCGTGTTTTTATGACATGACATTATGGTCTAGAAAAACAAACAGTATTTTGATATACAATATGTTTGAAGGACACTACCGATGTTTTATCAGAAACATGGGAGTATAAGATTTCTAAAATAAAAATAACATCTTGATCGGGTGGAACAAATGTGATGTATGTGCAGCGAGTCGGGAGTATTTACAATACAAGGTCAAAGATTCAAATATTATATTGTGTTAAAAAAAAAGATCTTTTTAAAATTTAAAACAAAAGAAGTAAGCCATCCGCAATACAAAAAGTTACCAAAACCGAAGGTCAAATTTAAACACAAGTGTCAAGTAAACAGCTATTATACTTTCCATGCATCTAAAAGACATGTATGGCTATAGTTTGAATAATTCTCATATTGTTACTCCGTGTGTTTTGCACATGACACCGATTTGAAAAATGGGCTAAAATTTTGAGAAAACAGCAGAGCACAGCCCTACATATCTAAGAAAGTATAACACATAGGTAAAGTTTTTGGTTCCAACTCTAGCGCCTACAGCAGTGTATGTGTGTGTAAAATTTCATCACAATCTGACAATAATTGTGGAAAATAACTGAAAGACTCTTTGCAAATATTTCGTTTTTCGATAACTTTTCGCGTACTTTAAAAAAAAGTGATTTTTTTGCATGAAAACAGCCAATACAATTTGATAAAAATGACCCTCTTTTTCGGCTTCTTTCTTATCAGCACTCAGCACTTAGTTGCTTGTGTTTTCCTACCTGCCAAAGAGTCTTGGAAGCCAAAAATGTCTGTTTTGGGGTAATTTTTTTTAACATGAGAAACATGAGGATTCGCAGAATGTCAACAGATGTATGTCTTTCATCCTTAGACAGCCACCAGTTTAGTGTTCCATTATTAAAGATAGCTGCTGTCATTGCTACAGACGTCTTCTATTATTACATGATAATTCCTTTTCTTTGGGAATCACTTCCCTATCATGCTGTTGTGTTACTCACTCTGGTTTTGGGTCTAGCTGACCAGACACTTTTTTATTATCTATTTCTTGGAAAGGTCTTCTCCAGACTGGTCTTATAGCTTCTATGACTGCAGTATGGCAGTAATGATGTGTTCCATATGTCAATGCCCACTAGCTTTAGTGTTTTTTATTTAAGTCCATAGATAACAAAAAGACTAATTGTGATCTGTCCGCGCCTAAGCTTTGCATCATTCCTTCATTTAGTGCCTAAACTAAACCATATTAAAAATTAAAACATTTGTGAATAATATTATTTAAAACAGTTATCGTAGTAAAGTTTTTTTCTGCGTTCGTAACAATCTGTTAAGTTGAATGAAGAAGAGTAAACTATTGTATTTGAACGGAACAATGACGTACTTAAATCGCTTCTTATTTGGTTCCATGGCCTTTGTCCAACCAAGAACAACCTACAAGGAAGCAGTTGTTTGATTTTGGAGTTGTCTCTCCTAACGAGCCTCATCTGCCTGGGGATTCAAACTCGAGTCAGCAACCACGAACTTTACTGATTTGACTACGCCGACTCCTTATATTCGTGTCCAATTTAGTTAGGAATGATGGTGTATTGATGACGTGGACTACTTTTTAAATTAATATTTTATATTTACTGCATATACATTGGCAGATAAAAGATGGGGATGTAGATTATCTGAAAGATGAAATCTACCGCTCTGCATGGGCAACTATAATTTACTTCAACCAAGCAAAAGGGGTGCGCCCTATTGTTTGAGTGCATTAAGCATCCACTCTGTCAAATACAACATCGTTAGCCAGAGCGACTAATTAGCCTGTGCAACTAATTAGCATGTGCAACTAATTAGCCTTTGGATCTAGTAAGCCATCTCAGCATGTTTGGATGTTTATACAAAGTTCATAAATAAATTATACCAATTTGATATTTAAATAAATAAGTTTTTATAGTGTTATAAAATTTTAGTTTCAAAGGAATAAATAATTCAAAGAGGTAATCTAATATGTTAGATATATATTAAGTTGCTTCAACGTTAAACTTCCGCACATTTCTATATAAAGTACGAAAATACGAGTTTTAGATATTAGATGAAAACTAGGCACATTCGATAGAAGAATGAGGCTAGTACATGTCTCAACACTTCTCCTTTACTTCCAGATGCTTATTGAGGTTGATCCAATACTCGGGCTCACGTTTGAGGAGCTAAAATTTAGTTGTGTGAATAGATGTGGCAACCACGGTTATGACCACTGCTCCTGCGATGAAGCGTGCGCAGTGTACAATACATGCTGTGAAGATTTCGAGAAGGATTGCCCGGGCGTCTACAAGGAAGGAATAAAAAAATATCAGGAACTCACCCAACTGGAACTTTATTGTACGCCTTATGACGTGCTGATGGTATCGTCATGTCCAAACACAACGGAGACTCATCTTGTCAGAGAAAACGGCCATGGGCTCAACATAAAGGAGGTTTCATTGTCCACACTAGACATGTTTCATACCATCTTGGAAAACAGACCAGTGACAAATCTAGACACAGGAATTGTCTTTACCAGAAAGAATATTTACGACTGTAATAACAACAAGAATTCTAATTTTACTCTTTGGCAACCAAGTTTTGCAGATATACCGCTGAATTTTTCCTTTATGAGAGAAGGAAAGCGTGTTTTGGATTTTATAGCGTACCAAGCCCCTTATAGGTATGAGGACCTTACATTTTGTACAAACAAAGCAGTCATGTCGTGTAACGACACAAACATGGTTTTACCATTAGAAGAACACAATTTTTTAGCGAAAAAGTGTACCTCATTTAGGTCATATGTCAAAATTGCTTATCAAATCACGGAACATACATTCTATCAAAATCGATTCTGTCTTGTGTGTAATGAGGGGTATGGCGACTTTAAACTTTTCTTCAATATGCATCACACTGCGAGGTTTCAAGTCCTGTTTCAGATTGATGCCAACTCTACGATACGGCTCATAGCTAAAAACATTCCGCTAAATCAGGTTTGGAGTGAAGCGACGTGCAAACTCGATGATTTGAAAATCATGACCGATGTAAGGGATCTACAAAACACCTCCTGCACTATTCAGGAGTGTTCACATGGTTTCTTTCAAAGTCCGGACAACAAATGCCATCGTTTGTGGCTCATAGGTATGGTTGACATTGTTGGAAGTTCTGTTTGGTGGGAGCATAAATACCTAAACGTGTCTGATGTGTTCGCCTGTTTGATGAAGGAATTTCTTTATTTCAATATTTACAAACCCTTAAACAAACTGTATATCTATGATGATAAACTTGAAAAAGAAATGGTTTTGGAATTGATACAAGTTTATACACTAAAAGATGCAATGAATTATGATGTTAATCAACGTGAGCCTGATATAAATAAAAAGATTAAGATAAATTTAGTATCAATTTCTGCGGTGATTCAGAAATATCAAAATGACTCTGCAATAACTAGTGCATTTATCTACAATGACTGGTTTTCTCAAACTCAAACTTTTGAAAAAAACGTAGATCTGATATCAGAAAACAACTATCTGAACGGGATGTTTGTTTTCAACACGAGTGTGACGGTGTGTATCATGAACGATGTGTTGCGACAACGTAGGCACCTGTGCACGCCACGAACAGAACACAACATTCAAGCAGAAGTTGAAGGCGTTCAAAAACTGTTTCAGTCAAAGTGTTTGTCGACTAATAATAGTAGAGGCTTAGAACTGATCACCTCAAAAATTGTCAGCATTCTTCTTGTTTTCTTCTCTTGGGCAATGTTTGAATAAATTCACAGATGTCTACACTTAATAAAAATAAACTTATTTTAAAAGCAAAAAATTTGTTAACATCATGCATTGATTTGGGAAAATATAGAAAATAGGGTAGGAGGGTATGTGTGTACTGAAAGGATCTATCTATATATATATATAATTCTCTTCTGGGAGACGTTAGAAAACAAGCTGCAAGCGCGCCTTGCAGTCCCCTCTCTTCCTTTCTATCACTATCACTACCACCCCCACCCCACCCCCACATGGTCTGGTGAGCTGTGGTCACACTAAATGTTTACAAATCGTAGAGTCGGGTTTAGTGACGGCTATTAGGGGCAGATAATTTAGTTTGAAACGATTTTAAACTTACAGGAGGTAACTTAGAGGAGGCTGCTTTCACGGGGGGGGGGGGGGGGGTGTAGGGTCGGGGTTAGGGGAAAGGGGGGGGGGTAGTGTTTTAAAGCAAATATTTTCAGTGGCAGCATTGTTACTGTCGAATTCACAAATTATGAATTACGGAAAAGTAGAAAATCAACAACTAAATAGCGGCGTATGATACGCCGCGGGTCGGCTTGTATTATATAAATAAAAGATCATGGCGGTGTGGAAAACGACATTACCTCCCTTTGTCCATTACCTCATTCATTTCTTCCCCCCCCCCCCATTCCCCACCCCTCCAGGCTAGGGCTAGGTTTTTGATTTGGCTTAGAGCAAGGGCTAGTTTTAGTTAGTATTAGGGTTAGTGCTAAGGCTAGGGTTAGGCTAAGCGTTATAATTGGAATTAGCATAGTGTAGAGAACTAGGGAAAAAAATTGTTTTAATTTATAATCGTAGTTGTGTCTATACTACTATATTGTGTAATTATAGGTTAGATAGTTCATAGCAGCTGTAAAAGGAATAGTCCTTAGTGTGTTTGATTGTATGTCTCCTGACTAAATACAGCTTGCAGCTGCCCTAGTCGTTCAGGTTAGAATTAATGTATGCATAAATTAGGCGCCCCGCCCTTCGCGGGACTGCCGGTTTAGGCAGGGGTGGGGCTACCTTAGGGTGAAGCTGCGTGATTAATGGAACGATGTAGAACAATACGTGACAGGTGTGATTGGATGTGCATTTAAACTATTAAATTATATAGTTATTACTTGGCTGATCTAAGGTAGATGAGGGTAATTATATGATTATATATATATATATATATATATATATATATATATATATATATATATATATATATATATATATACATATGTGTGTGTGTGTGTGTGTGTGCCTGCGTATGTATGTGTGTACGTGCGGGCGGGCGTGTGTGTGTGTGTATGTAAATACATAGGCCAATCAATAGATTAATAGATAGGTTGTTCATGTCGGTAGATTTTTTATTCATGTTATTGCATACAAAAATCTCCGCTTGTAACCAAATATATAGTGTAATAGATCTGGAAAGTACAACTGGCAATACCCAGCTCGAACCGTGTTCGAAGAAAATTTAGCTGGATGAAAAAACGATTCCACTGTGTAGTAGAAACGGAACGTGTCTTTCCTCTCCTCCATCCAAAGAGACTTCCCGTGGATGTAGTGGATGTCGCTGGCACCCAGCCCTCGTAGAACGGCCGGGACGGCTATCTCCAGGTACACGTCATGCTGGAGGAACCTCGTGAGGTACCAGCAGGTCTCGTGTAGCAGACGTGATGGGATGTAGAAGAGATCGCTCAGCCGAATTTCCGTCACGTCTTCAGAGCTTGTGTGAGCCGCCATGTTGCTCTGGAGTTCTTGCCATGCCCGGACGCCTTTGGGGAACTCTTTGGTGTTTCTAAGGTCTTCTAAAGTTTTTAAGTACGCTTCTCTTCCGATAGACATACCCCACCAGATCCAGCGAGACGTGGCTTCGGATTTCTTAACTCCGAACCAACGGCCTTCGTCTGTGACCCAGATTTTGTTTTTGTCGGCCTTGAGCAGAGTCCATGGCTTAAACATGACGTCATCGCCGGCCATAAGATAACCTTTGACCTTGTGCCCCATCTGCATAGCCTTGATGACGCAGTGGTACGCGGTGAATCCGAGAAAGACCGATGCCTCGATGAAGGTAAATTGGGTCCCGTTGTCTTTCGTCTCTTTTTGAAACTTGGCCAGGCTTTCTCCGCAATAGACAATATGGCGGAACATCGTTCTGTGAATTGTATCTAAATACAGTGTATTGTTATAATAAAAGTGATTGTAAACCACAATCAATAGAATATCATGGAAGAATGTGGTCTTGTCGCTGTCATCAGCGTGTGTATTTCCTTGTTCATGTAACTTTAAATTGGGACACATTGCAGTAATTTTAGACGCTTGTCTCGAAATTTGACTCCTAGATGGGGTTTTTTCAAACGGCGCAGGTGGCGCTTGTTCTAAAGGGGCGTAACTGACTCTCGTGAATTTTCGATCATCTCTATATCCAACCCTCGATGTTCTTTTAGAATAGAATTGAAATTCATCCGTGTGTCTTTTGCGTTGTGGCTGTGTGTATCCTATGTGGATTAAATCCTCTACCCACACCATCATCATCTGTAATTCCTTACTAGTCCAGAACTTCTGAGCTACTAAATCATTGCTTAGTTTAACAACGCATTGGAAAAACGTCAAGTTCTTTGGACAAGACCATTCGGTCAAATACGACATCAGGCCTTGCACAAACTCGTCAGTAGACCCAGATTTTGGTGATAGGCTTGGCTTGACGACACGTACTTCAACGTCGTCTAACTGATAGAAACCTACTCTCCCGCCTATCTCCCAGAGAAGTCGCTGACATGAAAGTCTATGGACCAGTCCTGATGTAAACGTGTCTTTGGACGTGGGGGCGAAGAGTGCCCAGAAAGCTGATTGGTGATACAGAACGTTTTTGAAACTTAACGGGCTGAAGACTTCCCTTGGGACTAGTACAGGTGGAGCAGCTGGATCAAAGGTCACGTGTTGTACTGCAGACGGCTGATCGTTTATCGGCTGGAATATCCTGGCCATATCCATGTGGCCACTGGCCAGTCCTTGTTGGATTGTAGGCGTGTCCCATCGGTCGTTCAATCTAAGGAAACGGAACCATGATTACTTTTGAAAACTAGGGAGTTATCTAAACTATTTAACTGCCCGGGTAATACCTATAGTTTAAGGAAATAAATTTTAAATATGGGTCATATTTGGCGCCGAATAATCAGAAATCTCAGCCACAAATCAAGGTTTGGTGTATTTTGTTTAGTTTTTTACTTTTATTTTTCCAACCAGCTATAGAAAGGACACATACGAGAAATATTACGTTAAAACTTGACTCCAGATGTGTGGATTAGGGATACCCCTAACCAGTGTTTCTTTCAGACTTTTTTCTTCTCGGGGAGGGGGTGCGGACTTAAATTTCCGGCGTGATGGGGGAGATGGACGATGGTAAAGGTATACATTTTCGTTATAGATTATATATTTTTCTAATTTTTTTTCGGGGGGAAGGAGGGATAGGTTGCCCCACCCTCGAAGAAACACTGAAACAAAAACTGATCCATAATGTAATATGTAATAATATAATGTACAAGTACAAATACCTGTATAAGTTTGAAGGATGTGCCCCACCCCCCAGCATCGGAAATCCCCGTGGCCTCAAGTTAGATTGTCCGAAATGTGGGTACGGGTTAAAGATTGTATCCCCCTCATACAGTAAACCGGAAGTTGTAGGTTTGTAAGTAAACCCACTTAGGTTGCCCGGAACTCTGAAGTAAGACAAGAAGAAAAACAAGATGTAAGTCTGGATAATAATATTAAAAAAACAGCAGTTATTATTTTAACTAAAAAACACAGAAAACTAAATAAGCAGTATTGTGAAAACCATAAGAGTTCGTCGGAATGTCCAAAAAATTCATTTAAACGCTTTTTAAGTACACTACAGTTTTATGGGTTGTTATTGTTTCGTTTCTTTGAAACAATAAAATCTTTTTTTTTCATTATGTATGAACTATTGTCTAAACGTCATGTAATGTTTGATTTAACTGTATCTTCTCATTAGTATTAAATTGTATTATGCACTTTAACCACCAACCCTGTTTACACTTTCTAATTTTAACTTGTCAAAACAGTGTTAGTTACAATGTGCTGCATTTCGGATGTTTGAATAAGATCAGGTTTCTGTCTAATCCAATACGTTTGTTGAGTAGCCGAAATAGGCGCAAATCCGTCGATCGTAACCAAACAAAGATCGTATGAGAGTTCCCACGATTGAGGGGGGGGGGAGCTTAACCTCTAACCCGTAGATAGTTGTCTGGCTAATAGATATCGGTTGTAATTCTACATTTAATTTTCAGTTGCATGGGTAGTTTACATACACGTGATCAATATTGTAAATACTTTGAGGTCAAAATTCAAATTTAATGAGCTATTTATTGTTTTTGATAATTAAAGTAAATTCTTACATACGCGAGTCAGAACGTGCTAATTAGGTAATTGAGGAAATTCTTATATAAAAAATAATTTTAAATTAAAAGATAACGGGATGGGGTTGCAGTTTACTTCTTTAAAATTCGACCAAAAACGTGATGCGATTCCTATAATTATCTATATATATACTACTAAAAGTCAAGTTTGTTTACATGTTTGAATATTTTTTTTTTGTTTTTTTGTTTGTTTGTTTGTTTGCCTGATCGACTATCTCGCATGGTTGCACTCATCGTGGAAAGCTGTAAAATAGTATGTAGGTAGAGAAAAAATTTTGTTTTAAGACAGACTGTTAATCACAAATTTATTTAAAGACGTTAATTAATTTATTGATTTATTCATAGGTAAATTAACCGTATTTTTTTAAAAATGTTAATACATTGAATAAACTTTGTGGGGATAGTGACGTCCCTTGATGTGTTTACTTTTTGGTAAAATAAAAATGGCGGACTCCATCATAGACTTTGTGGCCCATTCAAAAGTTTAACGCGTTACAAAGCTAATTTTCTGCCGGCTATAACTTAAACAATACGTCCGTTTGCTGTATTTATTACGTTCCAACACTTATATCAATTTTCAACTGTCTTTTTCATTTAGTTTTACGATAAATTTCTCTAGATCTAAAGATCAGCTGTCGAAGGAAAGTTATGAATCTAGCCTAGATCTAGCCTAGATCTAGGTCACTACTAGACTCAATGTAAATTCTAGATCTAGACTTAATGTAAATTCTACATCTAGAATATATTTCAGGCCTTAATACATCTAGAATCTATTTCAGGCCTTAATTATTTTATATAAATCTTTGTTTGGCTAATTTAAGATTAAATTTAATTTGAAAGTTAATACTACTAGACTTAGATCTAGATCTATGCGCGCAGACTCAAAAGTATAGTATAAAAATTCATTTGTGACGTCACGAGTAAATAGCTAAGTTGGTAGCGTAGCCCGCTCTCATGTGGGTGGCATAGGTTCTAGACCAATATGTCAATGGTATTTTTTTTCAATTTTTTTTTTTTTAAATGTGAATGATAAAGTTGCCTATCTGAACTTGGCAGGATACAGGGCAGGTGAAGTAGAGTTCATCTGTTTCTTTGTCCTAAGCATATGAAAGGATAGTGTGGTCAAAGACATGCTCGGCTGGAATCGTTTTTTAAACGATAAAAACATGTTGTCTGAGACTTGGCGGGACACTGGGCAGGTGAAGTAGAGTTGAGTAGGTCACATGTGACGTCAGTATATGAAGGGATAGTCCGAAATCGGTGTTTTCGGTGTTTTTAAAAGATAAGAAACATATTTTTGAATGTGGGGTCTGTTTTTTGTGACGATAAGTGACACTGCAGTAGCGTAGCGAGGAGGGGGGGGGCGGGAGGGGAGGCGGGGGGGGGGGGGGGGGGGCGGGAGGGGAGGGGGGGGGAAGGGGAGGTGGAGGGGGAAGGGGGGGGCGGGGGGACATATGTTGAGGCGCCAAAATGGTTTGGAAAAATAAATTGAAAGGTTGAGGGGGGTTCAAATCGAAAGTTTGAGTGGGGGGGTGCACATCAAAAGTTTGAGGGGGGGGGGGGGGTTGAAAATCGAAATCTTGGGGGGGGGGGGGTTAAAATCGAAAAGTTTGTCCCCGGGCACCGGGAAGGCTCGCTATGCCTCTGAGTGACAGACGTGATGTTTTTTGATGGATGACCCCCGAAACCCACAGTTATCCAACGGATGACGGGTATTCTAGTATTTTATTAAAATCCAAAAACGTGTAGCACCAACTTAACTTTATGTGGAGGGCGGAAACTAGAGATGATAAAAAATAAAAGTGGTTTATGTATGACAATGCTAAATAACATATTGTGTGTAGATCTGGGTCAAACTGCTCTTCTGCGTTACTTGCTACAAAATATGCAAAAAAACTCTAGTCGTTCTGAATTATAGTAATTATACCAAACAAGTTAATAAAAAGTCTAGTGACAATTTAAGCGCAGTTTCATTATGTTATCTAAAAATAGCTCTGTCGTAGCGTAAAGCACACACGGGGACAAAACACAAGACGTATAATGCTGGGGTGCGTTCAAGCTAGGAGAACGATCGGTTTGTAGGTGTTTATGTAATTTTTAAAAAAAATGTGTGACCGAAAAAAGGATATTTTTGAAAACTTTCTTCGGCAATATTGTTCTAAATTATGGCAGGAATCGATTGATAAATGTTTCAAGTCGCTAAGTGGTCTGGTTGCCGAGATATGGGCCGAAAACTGCATTTTTTTCCAGGTTTTTTGGCTTTTCCGGGAAATTCAGGAAGGAATTCCGGGAATTTTTTTGGCCCACAATCATCCTCGTAACTTGCTTAACATATTTGCTTTTGGAACTAGTCCTCGATATTGCTTCGTTGAGGAGGAGATACGACTTAAAGCTGCGGACACACATCGGACACACATCGGACACACATCCATCCTTGACGAGTTAATAATCGCAATTGTCCGTATGGAAATTGCGCTAAAAAATAGTCTTACAAATTAAAACCACCGTATCAACGCTAACTCCGTATAACATGATATAACAAAACAGTTTAACCTCAGTCCCACCCTATGACTTGTTAAATGTGTCTACGACTCCATTAACATTCTTGGGTATTACTGACACAATCAAACGTTGAAACAGCTTTAGTGGCTGATGTAAGAAAAATCGTTACAGACAGAAAATAACGGCTGTAAATTGAGACTTACCTCTGCTTACCATCAGTGCCGGCGCCAGGTTTTTTGGCACTCTAGGGGTCATCCATAAATGACGTTACGCTTTTTTGGACGCTTTTTATCTCCCCCCTCCGTCACACATCGTCACAAAAAAGCCTGACCACCCCCCTTAAAATGACGACACACTTCAGCCTACAACCCACCCTCAAAATTGCAGTTGAATTTTTTTTAAACATCGATATTTTCCCAAAATCTTGTCTGAACTCTGTCAAAATAGAGTATTTTAATCAATTCCTATTACAATTTATTAAAACAGCTTTCTAAAACGCGAAATAACGTCTAAAATTCGTTTTCTAATATTGCTTTTTTATAATGCAAAAGTGTGAAGTTACACCGTCTGAACCCCCCCCCCCCCTCCCCCACATCACACATCGTCACAAAATTACGGACCCCCCTACGAGTGTGACGTCATTTATGGACGACCCCCTAGGCAAAACTTATTAAAACGCCCCCTTTTATACAAATTAATTAAGAAAACATTTGTATAAGAAAACAATGAATTAAAAGTGGCATATTATTTTATTATAAACTGCATAAACGTTATAATTAATATGTAGACAACAAAATCAAATTTTACTTGCCTCCTTCGCCTGCAGACCTCCCAATGTGAGTTCCAGAACGGAACTTACCTGTTTAAAGTTTACTTTCTTTAGTTATAATTGTAAAATGTCTATATTGTGTGATTATGTAACGATTTCAGCCTACAATTAATAATACTTTCGGAGAGGGTGAAAAATATGAAAAAGACACTTAGTTAATCAGATGATTATTTTGCGACTAAAACGATTTTAGACCCATTAGTTACACTATCTCATACTGT